ACCTGGAGCTTCACAACCACGTTGATAACTCGCAGCCAGGCCACTTGAACTTCTGGCTGAAGTTCAGTGTCCATAGTCTCCTTTGCACTGCGCTTCTGACATCGGTCTGTTGCAACCAAAGTTAACCCCACAAGTGTGCCTCTGACACTGCTTCCTGATTGTAAGAATCTTCGGCCTCAAAACAACTACTGAAACGGACAACTCATGTGCCAGCATGGCCATTCTCCGCGTTCGCGGAACAATCTTTATATGTATATATATATATATTTGTCGCGGATGTTTCGCGGACTCAGGTCCCAAAACCATGTCTAGTTAATATGTGTTGGAACTAAACATTTGTATCGCAAAGTAATGGCTGACATCTTGCGGCGTGACCTACACACAAGGCTGAAACTTGCCATACCTAACAACTACTCAAGGTCACTTGCAGCACCTGAGCGACATGTGCAGAAAAACAGTATTCTGGGTTGTGGGATGTTGTGGGGGATGCTTGTATAGAGTCAGCCGCAACTCAACCCAATCCTCGTGCCAGCTACCAGCACAGAGTGATGCAGCTCGGGGAATGGTGGGGGGTCTCAAGCTTGAAACCTGGACTCCAACAGCACACGCGCAAAAGCTTTTCGGATATTTCGCAAAGTTTCATGTGTGATTTCGCGAGAAGGCGTATCACGCGCAAGCATCCGCACAACCTGTCGGAGATGCGGTTCGTTGCCTCACTGCCAGGACTGTGCAAGGGTGATGAAGCAGTTGCAGTTTGTGTGAGCTAACTTCGGAAAAGACAATCTTGCATGCGCAGGGCTGAACGCACTAGTCGGTGACAGGTTGCTAGTCGGTGACAGTCGGGACAGGAATCGGACAATCCTGTACGCACTGCAAGGGCTGGGCAAGGCAACGTTGAGGCTTCAGTTCGTCTGTGACAGTGGGGAGATGTGGGGACACTTCCGCCCACCGGACTTGTATTTCTGCCATTTGTCGGTCAGTAGAAAGGAAATTATATGAAAGCAAACACCTTCGATAAATCTTTCGCGCGAAAAAGATACTTTCGCGGATGGCTTGGACAGCATCTAAAAGGGTGTTTATATAATCCCCTTTACGGACTCAAAGGCACCTTTAAACATGATGTAACTCTTGAAAAAGGCTACTAACAGCCCCCTGCAAGTTGTTTATGCTCATTCTAGTGGGTTCATGTCGGAGCAAAGTCTTGAGCGCCTTCAGTTGTTGTCTTCTAGTGACCTAGCGAATTGCAATCTTGTAGTACAAAATGCGTTCTATCCGGAAGCCTAATTATGCGAAAAACGATCGAACATGCATCGAGAGTACATCACTGGAAAGCTCGCCAGGAATCAATACCTGCTGAGAACCTTTGTGAGTGGTTTGAAGAAAAACAACCCTGGCCTCTTTGGCAGCATCTTCGTCTTCCATTGGCATTTCTCCGAAGGCTTGCTCCTCCGGCCAAAGCTGTTTCCAGGATTTCGCGAAATTGACTCAACTTCAAATCTGCTCAACCATTTTGAAAACAGCAAGTTGGAAGAAACTGGCCAAGGCCTGCTCCTCCACAGGTTCTTCCAAGAGCTCTTCCTAAGCAAATGCTGGAATTGCATCATTCACTGCGGCAATGCCAAACACCTGGAGCTTCACAACCACGTTGATAACTCGCAGCCAGGCCACTTGAACTTCTGGCTGAAGTTCAGTGT